CTTGTTTCCGATCACAATCATTTATATCGGTATACACAAACATTCATTGATCGTCATTCATGAAGTGGGTGGTGGTGTTGGCCTTTCCGTTCATGCCCCATTTCGCATCGCAACGGAGAACACAGTATTTGCGATGCCCGAGGCAAAAATCGGGTTTTTTCCAGATGTTGGTGGTTCATTCTTTTTACCGAGGATGGACGGTGAAGTTGGGACTTATTTAGCTTTGACAGGCGTTTCATTGAAGAATCTAGATGTTTTGTGGGTTTTTTTTTATTTTATTTTTTATTTTAGTTTTTACCCCCCCCCAAAAAAAAATTATAAATATATTTAAATATACATTTATATAATTTAAATAGCTTATCCGGAATAGCCACGCATTATGTTCCATCGCAACGATTGCCACTTTTGGAAAATCGGTTAAGCGAGATCGAATGTGATGACCATGACGTTATCAATGCAGTAATTGAAGAATTTGTTGCAGAGTGTGATCATGATCATTCATACGCCCTTGGCGGAAATATCAGAAAGTCAATTGATCGGTAATATCATATAATAGAAACAGAACTGGAGGTATAAATTTTATTAACAGGCATTTAAAATAGATGTTTTAAAGGGGATACTGTTGAAGATATCTTAAAAGCTTTGGAACAAGAAAATTCAGATTGGTCTAGAAAAACGATAAACACAATCTTGCAAATGTCACCCACGAGTTTGAAAGTGAGTAACTTGTCTATCAATTGTTCTAAAAACCTGCAAGTAAATATTTAAGTTATCACTGTATCATATTTTATTATACTATGATAAGTCACTATAGTGATAAATATTTACTTACAGATTTTGCTTTATAACACTCATGTTTTTAATAAACATAATGGTATGTGTTTATGAAAGGTTACATTGAAAGAATTGCGTAAAGGAAAGAATATGGACATAACGGATTGTTTAAAAATGGAATACAGACTTGCACAAAAATTCTTGGTAATTGTTATTTTAAAAATCAAAATAAAATATCATTATTATTACTAAAACTTTACTTTCGCGAATTCAATGGGAATCACTATTTAATACTATTAAATATGATTAACACAGGAAAAATCCGATTTTGCAAGAGGTGTAAAACATCTCCTTGTTAATAAAGAAAAAACACCGCCGAAATGGGAACCACCATCTTTAGATGAAGTCGCTGATATTGAATTTTATTTTAATACTAATGACACACAAGAACTTGAACTACTGAATATACGTTCATTTGAAAATTATCCGTATTCAAGATTTAGTCTTCCGTCAGAAGAAGAAATTCGAAAGGTCACTGGCGAGACTCCTGACTCCGGATCAATGAGTATGAGTAAAGATGATATTGTGGATTTTTTCTTTAAAGATCGTAATTTTAAAATCGGAGTACGCGAGAAAGTACTAGAAGTCTTAAATAGGAAAACTACCTCGTCAGAGGGACAAGAGGGATTAAAATGGATAAAAGATGAATGATTCTTAACGTTACATAAATTAACGATGGACAAGAATTAATAAATAATATTAGAAAATAACTATTGTCAACTCAAACATAAAAATTTATTAATAGACAAATTCTGTTATATCCATAGTTGACTACATAATGCTAACTGATTAATGTGTCAAAAGAATATTAAAACACATATAGTGAGCAACTCTAAAGACTAAAATCACATAAATTGTCGCATTTGAGGTCAAAATTTAAATTCTACTTGTAAAATAAGTGAAACAACTTTATTTTTTGCTTCTTAACGTTAATATATAAGGGAGGTAATTCAAATTAAGTTAGCAGAATTTAAAAAGTTATCAGCCCAATTAGAAAAACAAATGACTAGTGCTAATGCTAAGGAGAAACAAGGTCTTATATTTCATAACCATAATTCGGATCAGCCGGATTTAAGCATGAGTAATGTTTTTTCAGATAAAGTAATTTCTATTTTTTCCTGCTAACCCGACTTTTCTAACCCTTAAGATATGGCCTATCAAAACGGTAGCTGATAGTCACGGCCAGTGTCGTAAGTGGACAGCCTTTGGACAAGATTTTGGACATTTTGGACAAAAAAATAAAATAAATTTACTAAAATTTTATTAAGATAACCTATTCAAATCTTTTAAGCAAAAATGTTTAGAATTAAATGAAGAATATAATCATATCGATATAATTTTTATTTTTATTACTAAAATATTTGTCATAAACAACTTGGACACTTGAACGTTGGACATGCCCAAAAAAGCTTTGGACATGCCAAAACGTACAACACTAGGTTCAGCACTTTATTCAACTGGTTGGATAATATATAAAAAATTAATAGTAAAATATAACCATCTAAATATTTTTATTCATCTTTTTTTAATAATAAATTAAATAAATTAATTTATAATGGAATTGGTTTGAATCAAAAACGATATTTTTGAATTGCCGGGAAATGAGTAGATATTTTTTTCCCCTGCTACAAAAGTTCTATTATTCGCTATAGATTACGTTAAATAGCCAATCATACGAGGACATTTTTGTTGCGGCAGCTACTAAACAATTGCAAAATTGTTAAATAAACATCAGACGGAACAAAGTTCACGAAAAATTAAATATAAAAATTACTTTTCTACAAGGCTAAATTAGACAAAATATACATTTGTAATGGCAGATAAAAAAGTTACAGTATATATTATCGATGTCGGACCTACCATGTGGCAGGCTGAACTTAAACCTGGCGTCACGGGGCTAGATCTTGCACGTAAAGCTGTTTTGATAATGTTAGAAGCGAAGGTACTTAGCATTATTGAATAACGCGCACTACGAACGAAGTGGTCAGTGTGTAAGACGCGTGGCCCTATAGCGCATATAATGTATATACTTAAAGAGCTGAACTATTTCATAATAAAGGTGTTTTTTTTTTTTTTTTTTTTTTTTTTATAGGTAATAGTCGGTCTGAAAAGCGATGTAACTGGCCTCCTTCTCTTTGGAACAGACGGTATGATTCATAACTCGTGAAATGCTTTATATATTAAAATTCTGTCGCGTTTATTCATCAAAGGGCAATTAATCACAGAAACGAATAATTACATGAACGATCAGACTGGTGGCTATAGACATGTAACTACACTCTATCCTATTGAACAACCAAATATGCCAATTCTACAAACTGTTAATAGTGGACTACCTCAAGGAAACGTTAAAGGAGATGGTTAGCTCAATAAGACCGATGTTTTTGGCTTTACATATTGATTTTATAAAATATAATTTAAGTACATTCGCGTTTATTAGCTTTCGATGCTCTTATTGTCGCACTGGGTATGATCGATTTGCATTGTAGAAAACTAAAATATAAGAAAAAGATTTACCTTTTGACTGATGGCGAGTCACCGATAAATAGTTCAGATCTTGATGCAGTTTTACATCAAATAAATGATTCAAACATTGAATTAAATATATTGTGCGTATTTTCAGAACTTTAAATTAATTATCAAAAGGCCTATATTTGTATATATAACGCATAATATTTATAGGGGTATTGGCTTTGATGATCCAGAGGCTGGATTTTTTGAAGAAAATAAGTCAGAGGTGAAGGTATGTACATACTCTCGACACAATATTATTTTATTTGGTGATATATCTGAAACTTTTATATAAAAATATTGTAGCGAAAAAATGAATCCTTTTTTAACAATATCACAAAAAAATGTCAACAAGCAACAATTTTTTCAATGGAAGAAACATTAAAGCAACTTTCAAAACCGCATATCAGAACAGTAAGACCTGTTGCTGCCTTTAAAGGTGCATTAACTCTTAATGATGCCAAAATATCCCCTAAATCATCTCTTACAATAAATGTTGAGATGTATTATCGAACAACAAAAGTGCGACCCACTGCTGCGACAAAATATTCTGCTCTTGCTGAGGCCTCTACCAACATCAATCAAAAGGCTTTTGATATAAATATGTCTAGAACTTATACTATATCGGTTTTAGATAATGATAAGAATGAGGCGGTTGAGGTTCCACGTGAGGATTTGAATAGGGCGTATTCATTAGGAAAGACGCTTATTCCTGTTAATGAAGCAGATGAAGAAACCTTCACCATGACCACGAGTAAATCTATGGAAATTATTGGATTTATCAAAAATAATGAGGTGAATATAGTACATAGTTATGTAACTGTTTAAACCTTAGGTTTCATTATAAAATTTAATTATTATTAGTTTAAACGCGAATATCTCATGTCAACTGTTGCAGCAGTTGTTCCTCAAACCAATAACCAAACAATGGCTCAGCGTCTTTCGGCATTGATCCGTGCATTATATGAAAAGGAGTCCTACGCTATTGTTCGCTATGTGCGAAAGAATGACGATGCACCAAAATTAGGTGTGTTAATGCCTTACGTTTGTGCCCCAAAAGAATGTTTATATTTTTGTCGCGTATGTATTTATTTCATTGAAATTATTCTATTTTATTGTTTGTTTGACCTGATTATTTAATTAATATTAATATTTAAAAGATTCCATTTAAAGAAGATTGCCATCACTTTACCTTTCCATCATTTGATCGCGTTGTAAGTAAAAGTGGTAAAGAATTGACGAATCACAATTATTTACCAAATAGTGAAATGCTTGAAAAGATGGATCATTTCATTGACGGGATGGATCTTATGAGTGCAAAAGATGAAGAAGGGTAAGATCTTTTAGTTTATATCTTGGCTAATATTGAATTAAACATATAATAAGTAAATAAATAAATTTTTTACCTTAGTAATGTGAGGGAATATCTCAAGGTTAAAGAATGTTTCAATCCGATTATTGTTCAAACAAAGAAGGCAATATGTCACAGAGCATTACATCCAGACGAGCCATTACTTCAGCCTGACCAAGAAATGATTGCTCAAACACAACCTCTTCCGTCATTGATTCAAAAGAATTTATATTTAGCAAACGATATGCGGACATTGTTTAACATTAAAAAAGGTATGATAGAATTATTTTAAATTAGGGATGTTAAGCCGTTTACATTTTACTATTTAAACTGAACTAGTTCTACTAGTTTAATTGTGGTAAAATTTGAGGAGTTGGTTGACTTTTGGTAATATCATAAATATGGATAAGGGCTAGAATTTCT